GGAGCTAAACTTTCCTGTCCTTCCAGCACTGCCTTGTGATTACTACTATTAGAAAGTTTTTCTTGTTTCTATTTTTAAGGTTGTAACCATTAAACATTTGAGTGAGAAGCTGGGTGGGGATCTAACCAAAAGGGAAGTTTAAACTCATTCTGAGGGAGGAGCTGCGACTCTACGCCATCTGCTGGCTGGGTTGCAGAATACAGGCCCTCATGGCCAGATCTCTTTCAAGAGAAGCCAGAAATCCAAAGTTGTATGTGAAATGTCACAAATTTCGAAGGCTGGCAACTAACTAAAAAAGCTTAAAAGCAGCTCCTCAGACAAAATTAAATATGTTTAAGGATAAGTGCCCAACACATCAAAGCCTCTGCTTCAAGAAATAAACAGCATTAATGTCTAAAATAAAAAAGATGAGGACTTGCATCCGCATACATTCTGTCTACAGCCCCTTCTCTTTCGCTTCCTCATTATTAGTTATGTTACTGTTTCTTTTTCTGGAAGTGTCCTTTATGACATGTAATGTATTTAAACTCCATTGTCTTTGGCAACGCAGAAAGCCATAATCAACCAAATTAACATTTCCTTTCATTCTACTACCTCAAGATAAAACGCTGTTCATATTTTGATGACCATTCATTCAAAATAGAAAATTCACATGTATCCAAGATTGATGCTGGCTGTAGTACTCAGGCAATGATGGCAGCTTGGTATTAGGTCTAGTCGTGGCTTTTAGAAGGTCAAAGAGATAAATGCCCACTTAGGCTATTTATAGCATCTGTAAAACTGTGTAACTGAGAGATTCAATAATCAGGTAGGTTTCCATCAATCTAATTTATGAAACAAACCAAGTGCGTCATTCATCTTCTAGATTTAAGTTGGAGGGTTTAGAAAACACCTCTTTTTTCCTTTAGATGCTGGAATACTATTGATCAGATTCAATAAAAACAAAATATTTATTACTGCAAGAATAATATGCTACAGGGAGAATTTTGGAAATCATATCACCGAACTAGCCTGTCAAACCAGGAGAGTAGAATGGCATCAGACCGCAAATCTGGAAGAGTTTAGCAACTTTGTGGTCCCAAAACCAGTGGACACACATATGCATGCACGTGCACACACACACACACACACACACACACACACACACACACACAGATCATGAAGCTTATTGATATAATGCGTAAAAATGATTGTAAAGACTCAAACATTTTAACAAGAAAAAAGAATTCAGATGACTATTGAGAGTATGTTGATTGTGTAATTTCAGAGGATATAAATTTATTAACAAAGGTTTTAATTTTAATACAATTTTAGTACAAAGCAAAAAACTAAATAAATTAGACAGCAACTATAATTGTAGACCTTAATTTCATTTAGACTTTCAACAGAGAATTTTTCTCATCTTGTGAGGGTCAATTAAAAGTAGAATGTCAGCTTTTCCACTTCAAAATCTCATGAGGAAGAAAAAAACTCCAAAACCATGTGCCAAGCCATCTACAATAAATTATTCTGTGCTCTGGATGAGACCCAGCATGTGAGGGTCTGGAAATACTTTCAGAGGGTGGCTCTGTGCAAATCCTGCATCTCACATCAAAATTCCATCTCCTCTTATGCCACAGATGAGAAAATATTTGAGCTGGAAAGGAAACTGAGCAAATGTGGAAACTGAGTCTGGCCCTGATTCAGAGTCAATGCCAGGATAGCCCTTGGGCAGGGTGAGAAGCCCTACTCAGTCCTGGGGGGCAGTTTAAATGGATCCACACTTTATGTGGGTGCTCTGCCCTTTACAGCTGGGAATGTGGTTTTTCATCCAGCATCTCAGTGGATCTTCCCTTGGGGATGGGGACTTCTGCTGCCCTCACTTTCTTGGTGAGAAACAGTCTCAGGGAGAAGTCACTTGGCCATGTTCCTGAAGCTAGCAAAGTAGCTGAGGAAAAACTCAGGCTGGGTCTCCTGGCTGCACATGTTCACTTCCTGGCAGGTGACCTCCTCTTCGCGTACCCCATCTGCACCCTGCCCCTGCAGCTCCTTACAGCTCACCTGTGTGCCAGGCAACATGTGATCCTCCATCACATCATGACCAAGACAGCAAATAAAACCTATGTGAATATCAGGCAGGCAACCCACACAGCAGGGTGACCATGCTATAGTCAACAGCCTTCCGAGTGTGGGCATGTGGAGTCAGACACACATGAGGCTGGGATGTAGGGTGGCCATGATGGGTGATTTGGCATCTGGTCCCTCTCTGTCAAGGATATGTCTCATTTTCTGTTGCTATAACAAAATACCACAGACTGAACAACTTATACGACAAAGAAGCTTATTTATCTCATGGTTCTGGGGACTTGGAAGCCCAAGGTTGGGTGGCTTCATTCTTGAAGGATCTCATGGCACATCTGAACACGGTGGGGAAGCAGAAGGGCAGGTGGGAGTGTAAGAGAAAAGACAAAGCCCAGGGGTTGGCCTCGGTTTATAACAATCCACTCTTGCAGTAATGAGTCCACTCCCATGAAAGTAAGAACTCATTCACTTCCATGAGAATCTACTCTGACTTGAGAGAGCAGTATGAGTCCCTCTTAAAGACCCCTCGAATGCTCATCTCCCAAAAGGGCTGCAACACCAGGTAAAGGAAATCTGTGCTAGCAGGAGGATGGAGGCCTGGGTTGAGATGAGGGGTAAGGTGGTCATTTGGGCAGTGGCTCTCTGAACTGGTCAGGCTAAGTTTGGCTTCAAGTACTAGACATGTGAATTAACCATGGCTTAACCAAGACAGAAGTTATTTCTCTTTCAGGTAACACAGGCTGGTGGGGCATCTCTGCTGGGAATTAGCAGGGACCCAGCCTGCCACTAGCTTGATACTTCACGACCTTCAGGATGTTGTTCTCGTCGGCTTGGTCCAGGATGGCTCCCTAACCCGAAGTTTAATCAACGAGCGTGGAGAAGGAAAGGGGAAGGGCATATCCCTTCCTCCCATAAGGGTGTAGCCTTTAAATCACAGTTACTTGCGGTAACACAAAGTAGCTGGAGCAAGGTAGAAGTTCATTCCTCTCTCACACAACAGTCCAACAGTAGGTATTGAGACGGGGCCAGCAGCTGAGTTGGTCCCCAAAGTTTTCCATGGATCTGGGTGTCTTCCATCTTATCACTGCACTATCCCCTCGTCGGGTGGTGGAAGGTGATCACTCTGTATTCATTCTGGCCTGTACAAAAGGCAAAGCTCAAATTTAATGCGAACAGATTCCCTTTTGGAAATGACACAGAAGATGCACATTTTGTTATCATTTCCATGCCAGTGGCCAGAACTTAGTCACATGGCACCTCTGCTGCAAGGGAAGCTGGGAACTATCATCTTTAGCTGCAAGACAGCTAAAACAAAGGGATTTCTACTCTTATGAGGAAGCAAGGGGAAGGAGGTTTGGCGCATAGTCAGTCTTCTCTGCCACGAGGCTTGCCTAGCTGTTGTCTTCTGCTCACTCGGATTGGCCTTAACCTGGTCATGTGCTGCAAAGGAGTCTGGGAAATGTAGTGCCTCGCCTGAGCAGGTGTTTTAGCAGCTAGATATGGGGGAGGGGTATTACCACGTGCAAAAGAGATTAACATAATTATGGAGACGGCCTCTGTTCCTGTCCTGAGAACTCCTATTCATCCAGGGAAATATGAGGCAAGGTCAGCACCTGAGAGTGAGAGAGATAAAAGAGTCAACAAAGGACATGTGGAACTGCAGAGTCGGAATGCAGGGACCTGTGCCCCCGGGGGCTCTCGGGTGTGAGGATGAGGTTTGAGCTCACAGATTTTCAGTGAAACCCCTTCACCGGGTTGTACGATTTTTCTCCTACAACACTCACGGCCCACATCAAGCCAAGAGAAGACAGGTGTGTGAATTAATCCAGCATCAATAATGCCAAGTGTACGCAAGGCTACCTACGAGGGGTAGATTATAGGGTTGGGACATGGGAGTGCAGATGGACGAGAAGGAAGGTGAAGGCAGGAAGAGGTTCATAGGTGCTGGGAAGGTTCGGTCAGGGGTTGGTATTTAGAGGTCAAACGTCTCAGTGAAGTCAGAGAACGCTGACACTCCAAAGCCTTAGAGCAGAAGCAGAAGCGCGGTGACCAGGAAGCGGGTGCTGGAGAGAAAGCCGGGAAAGAGAGCGGTGTTTGTGGTTGAACGTGCTTGGGGTGGAGGAGAAGAAACGGGGTGGAGACTGCAGGGATGGAGAGGAGGGGGCGGGTCATCGGCCACATCCACAGCCCGGGCAGGGACATCTCCACCTCCCCCAGGTGGCCCATCCCAGCGTGGGGAGCAGTTGCGTGTCTTGTCCGCAGGAGAGTCTGACGTGCAGGAGTGACAAAGGTGCTGCGCTGGTTTCTTCCCATTCGTGTCACTGGTCCTCCCTCTGCACCCGATGAGTATTCGACACCACGGCTGCTCAATCACCTCAGCCACTTCTGCTCTCTCCAGAGGCTTCCCAGAACATCGAGACTAGAATCTGAATGTGTCCTGTGGTCTGGAAGATGCTTCACAATCAGACTCCTGCCGACCTCTTCCTCCGTCATACTTGAGAAACAGGAAAACTGAATTTCTGGCTTTCCTTGAAAAGTCAGATGGTCAGGCCACACACAGCAGCCACCAGCTGAACGGTGTCGTCATCCCTTCCCGAGAGACCCTGGCTCACCAGTGACCACAGATCCCACTGCTCCTACTGCCTGCCATGCCTGGCTTCCCGTGTGACACTCCTCACCTCTCGGAGATTTTGATGCTGATCCAGAAAGGGAAGGAGCCACCCGAAGAGTAGAAAGGTGGTCCTTCCAGCTGATAGGCAGGGAAAGGTGAGCGGAGAGCTTTGGTTCCACCGTGAGATCATAGGGGGCTGTCACACAGGCCTGTGCTGGTCGACACTTCCCTGTCCTCCAGAGAAAAGCAGGCATGTGCACAGGTGTGACTTCTACTGAGATAAAGGATGAGCTTGGGGCACACAACTTACAAATAATAACAAACTCTGTATTGTAAACGCTCTTTATTGTAACTCCTCTTGTGCAAATTTTGGATGCCAATTAATTCTCACAGAATCCTTTTGTTGATTTTTTAAGCTAATCTCTTGTATCCCAAGCCGACTATCACTGCAATTCACCCATGATGTGACAAAATTAGACTACAAATAAAAATGCTTGATAATTACCCATCATGAAAGCTGATTGAAATCCTTATTTACATTAATAAATGAGACAAGAAGAGTAGAGCAATTAAGCTGGGCGTGGTAGCACACACCTGTAATCACAGCTGCTTAGGAGAAGGAGGCAGGAGGGTCTCAAGTTCAAGGCTGGCCAGGGTATTAAAATTAAAACTAAAAAAGGGCTGGGAATGTTGCTCGGCACTCACTGGGTTCGAGCCCAAGTGCTGCAATTTCAAAGTTTAAAAAAGCAATTAGGGTATACAGTGTTTCAGAATTCCTTCACCGATGAGGTGAGCACAGGGTCTGCTAAACTGGACAATAGTTTAGGAACAGTGGAAAAATATTCCTTTAGTTTTTTTTTTTTCTACTTACAATGTATCAGCTACAAACATGGCACACTTTTAAGTTTAATTCGCATTACTAACATTTGGTCCAGCAGTTGTTAGCTCTGGAAAGTCAACAAAACAATAAATCAAGCCGTGGGCTGGGGATTTTAGCTCAGTGGTTTCGCTGCCTGCTGCGAAAGCACAAGGACACGAGTTCGATCCCCCCCAAAAAATCAAGCCCTGATTTGTAGCATTCCCTAACCTGTGTGATGCAAGCACACTTCTGGGGCCAGCTGAAAACAGATAACAGAAAAGTGTATTAAGATAATTTGGAGTCAGTGAGTGTTGAGTATTCATTACCTTTGTCTTTTATACAATGCATTTAATTATAAGTTCAAATAATGTATTTTTAGTAACAGCTGTGTTTAACAACCAGTTTAATAATCAGCCCTCACAAGCCAGCTCCAGCACATCCCTGGATAAAGAAGTCTCCAGAAACAGAGAGGAGCAGTCACGGGCCAAGGGACACAGGGGTTAAATACACCATCGGGGCACAACTGTTCCCATTTTGCAAATGAGGAAATAGAAGCTGAGAGGTCTGTTAGCAGAGGCCACACTGACCCCAAGGTGTGCGACCTTCAAACACCTCCTTCCGGCAAAGCCTCCTGGCAGAGGACTCTGGCATCTGTCACATGCCTTGGATCTTAGTGTGCACAGCTCTGGAATACTATTCTCCTTTCCTTCAAATGAAAACTTGAATCCTCCAAAGCGATGCTAGCAACCGGAGGGTGAGAAGGGCCCCACTTGAGTGTCTGTTGTGTCACCAGCTTTTAGGATTCCAGCCCACTGGGGTCAGAAGAGGTCTCAAGGACAGCCTAGTTCAAGCCTCCCATTGCACGTATTGGGGAAACTGAGGCCCAGGCTCATAGAAGAATGTTACCAGCAGAACCAGGATTAGAATCCAGGGCCTGCCAAGCAGTCAGTTTCAAGTAAATGATAAATATCTTTGGCAAGAGAATTAGAGATGAGCAAGACTGAGAGCTAAGATCCCAGAAGCAGGATTCTCTCTGACTAAAAACTCCCTGCCAGATGGAAAAAGACAGCAGAGAATATGATATCCACAGTGGATTTAGGGGGGATTCTAGGAGACACTTCCTGCCAGGATTGGTACCCCAAAGATTACTTGAGAAAGTCCAGGGTCCAAAAAAGTCCAGAAAGTCCAAGGAAGACTGTATAATATTCTCATTAAAAATACTGCATTCCGCCACCTGCCTTGCAAGTGGAAGGACCTGAGTTCCATCCCCGGTACCAAAAACAACAACAACAACAACAACAAAAAACCCCTGCAAAGTCAGTGGGGAAAATGAGGCACGAAGACAGGTCCTCAAGGGCCCTCTGAGCCTCACACTTAAGGAGAGTTCAGGCCTCTCAGACTTTCATCTCTGAACCCAATACAGAGCCCTCCTTTGGGGCAGGGGTCACTCCCAAAGGGCCTCCTGGACCTCGTGCTGCAGGCCCAGCAGTCAGGAAGCTGGAGTTGGTCTGCAGACACTGACGTGCCTGCCTCTTCCGGGTGGGTGGACTCCTCAGGAGGCCGTGGAGACCTTGATGCGACTGTACTGGATGCCTGCTGAGTTCTGCCTGCAGCCAAAGCTCAGGATGAACCTGTCGGCGGGGAGAGTGACAGGGATCAGAGGGTGGCAGGGCTGGGAGCCTTCCCTGGGGGCCACAGGGGACCTCACCGGGGCCTCTCACTCCCATTCGCACTCCCACCTGGCCCCTTAGCCTCCTGCCTCTACAGCACTGGCATCTTCTCTCGCCAGGACACCCAGCAGCTCCTCCCAGGCTTCCTGCCTGTGCCACCCTCATCCCATTACAGCTGAGTCAATTTTCTAAACATAAAAGCCAGATCCGGTCGCCCGCTTAGGAGACTCACCCAATGCCCAGGCCTCTCACCACGGCCCCCTCAGACATCATGGCCTTCTCCCAAGTGCCCATTGCTCCCTGGCCACATTGGCCTCCTCCAGTCTCTCTTGGGACACCCAACATCAGGGCCTTTGCTCTTGCTCTTCCCTTTGCCCTTCGTTCTTTTTTTAAGACTGCATCACTCCAGGGAATGGGGTGAGATGTAGATCTCCGCTCCTCACATGCACACCCGAGGCACAGGGACATAAGCAGAAGGGGCCCCCTAGTGGTGGGTATTGGCTCTGCCCAGTATCTACGGGCTCCTCAGCCTTGAGTCTCCTCTGCAGCAGGTGGTCTTGTAGGGCTGTCTGTCAAGAAGCCCTGCCCTATCCTGCCTGAGTTGGGGGTTATAGGGTGGGGCACATAAATCAAGCTTGGCCAATCAGAATTTCTCCTGGGACTGTCACTCTGGTGTGGAGCGACACAGGACTCAACAGCTGGTGCTGAAAAGAATGTACCATTACTTCCTGTGTCAAAATCCTGGGAGCTGTCCTGGTCCATGAGAGACAAGGTCAAGTGTCTTTCATTCTGACCTGTGGCTCTGATGTCCGCAGCCCCCTCCACTACGGAATGCATGGTGGGGCCCAGGCCTGCCTGGGAACTCTCCCAACACCCCTAACTGTGACCTGAGCCCCCAGGCCCAGCCTGACACTTCCCTCCATCCTGCCTTACCACCTGCCTCTCTGTCTCTTTCACTCTTTGTCCCAGAGGCTGGGTCTGGAATATTCTCACAACAAAACCAGCCCGGCAGAAATTCTGGGCAGCGAAGAACAGAACCCTGGATTCTCAGCTGTGCGCATGGCTGCCCAGGTTCATGACCATGTTTCTCAGCCTCCCCTGCATGTTGGCATCGTCAGTTCTGTCCAAAGGGACATGGCTGGATCTGACCTCGACTGTGCCCTCCTGCGGGAAGTAGTGCAGGACATCTCGCACCCTATGGAAAAGGCAATGCTGAGGAGATGGCAGAGCAACAAGACAGAAGGGGCCTGGGCCCCTGAGTGAGCCCCGTGAGCACAGCTGCCATCCCAGCCCTGGATGCCTACACTGGGACCGCTCCAAGTCGCCAAGGCTGCTTCCTAACTAATGCAGCTACAGGTGTGAGTCACCCCACAACCCAGAGTCCAGCTGGCAGAGGCACTCTGGGCCAGGGAGGACCAGGTTAGAGGGTTTACACCAGACCAGGCCTTCTTGGCTTCAGGAGCCCGATGGGGGCCAGGCTGGCAGGCAGCTATAGGGAGGCTGGGGCCACTCAGTATCAGGATGATATTTAAAAATCTCTCAGGGTAATAGAATGGAGAGTCTTACTACAGAAAGGGGCTGGGGACACCTGCCAAGGATGCTTAGGACTGTAGCACACTGAGGCCCCTTCAAAGACTCCCATCTGCTCTTCTCTTATTCAATGGCTTAAGGTCCTATGATGCTATGATTCTGAACTCTCCTCTCTGACCTAAAGAACTCACTTACTACCTCCTACTTATCTGGCTGCTCTGGTTTCCTGTGGGTCCTCCCTCCCTTCCTCTGTTCCAGCCACAATAGCTTCCTTCTTCCTTGTTTATGCCAGATAATATTCCCACCACAGGGCCTTTGCACTTGCCATTCTCTCTACCTGGAATGTTCCTCCCCTCACTTTCACATGGCTGCCTCCTTCTCACTAGCTGAACTGTACCTCCTCAGAAAATCCTCTCTCTCTGACTACCTACTCTAATCTAGCCAGAACCCTGTCTCCTCTGTTCCCCCTCTCTGCTCTTGACCCCCTGGCAAAAAAATGGCTGGTTTCATTTTCTTCTAATTACATATCAGCAGATAAATGTTTATGCATATATTGGCTTATTTTCTGTCCCCATGAGGGCAAGAAACTTGTCATTCTTTTTTTTAATTGTTTGTTTGTTTTTGAAATAGGCTCTGGCTATGTAGTGAGTTCAGGCTGGCCTTGAACTCACTACATAGCCCAGGCTAGTCTTGAGCTCAAGGTAATCCTCCTGCCTCAGCTTCCTGAGTGCTGGGATTATTGACATGTCCCACCACACCCAACTGTAAGAAACTTGTCATTCTTAATATCTGTCACATTTCCTAAGGCCTCAAACACTGACCTCCCCATTGTAAGGACTTAATAAATAGTCACAGAATAAATGGATTAAACCCAAAAGTGTTCTGTGTGTAATTTTTGCTTGTTTCTTTGTTTTGTTTTGTTTTTGGTACCGGGGATCCAACTTAGGACCTTGTGCTTTCGAGGCAGGCAGTGGAACCACTGAGCTAAATCCCTGGCTGTGTTTTGTTTTGTTTTGAGTCAGGGTCTCTCTAAGACTTTTGATCCTCCTGCCTCGGCCTTCTGAGTATCTGGGATTATAGGTGTGCACTGCCATGTCAGGCTTCTATGAAATTTTAAAAGCCACAGGTACAAAATTTTGTTTCTCCAGGGTGGGTTCCATGAATTTAAGGTTCTATGGTTTTAAGATTCCCCTACCCTGACCTCTGGTTCTGTAATTGAGAGATTTAAAAAACTCTGTGAGCTGGGTCTTAGAGTCAAATGAAAAGCTGCTGTAGGAAGACATAAAGCAACTGTGAGACCATGACAAAACTCAGGGCGTCCAGGCAGGAAGAGATGGGAGGAAAGGAAACAGACATCCAGCAAAGAGAGAGGGTGAGGGCTGAAGTCCCAAGCCCTGGCCCAGGTTTGAGGGTGGCTCTTTCCCCCGTGGACCTGCCCATCCACATCCACCTCCTTACCGACCGCTCTGGAACTGCCGGTCTATCTCCGCCAGCGACTGGCCTTTTGTTTCAGGAACAAAAAAGTAGATGAAGCCAAGACCAAGGACAGCGGTCAGTCCATAAAGCAGGAAGATCCAGGACAAGCCAATGGCACCTGGGGACAGGAGGGCAGGTATGAGTGCCACACAGCCTGGGCCTTCTGGAAGGTTCTAGGTGGAGTGCTGAAGGTCAATTCACTCAAAGGCTCAGGATCACAGGTTTTTGGAATGGCCAAGGAACCATCAATAAGTACCTGAAGGCACAAATCTGACCAACCATCCCAGAGGTAGGGAAGGAGCCAGGGCACAAACCCACCAACCCAAATCGGGGCAAGATCACTCATGCACATCTAACACATTAGCCATGCTCAGAATGTGGACACCTGAACTGAGGCAGTGACATTCAGCTTGGCGGGAAACAGCTACGGGGACACAGCCTTGACAAAGCCCAGCTTCAAAAGTAACACCCAGAAATCCCAGCAACGGGTCATTTGGTGAATCGGTCGTTCAGAGAGATGAGCTTTGGCCACTTTGGCCTGAGTCTGACTGGTCGGGGAGAAGAAGAGACAGAGACTCTGTCCCTGGACCAGGGGCTCAAGCAGCCCTGCACTGCTTCCTCTTGGAGCCACAGGTGGGGGCAGGGTTCCGGTGCCAGAGACCAGGGTGGAGATGACCCCGAGTCTTTGGAAGTCAGCTGACCCAAGACAGAGAAAGAAGGCTGTAAAGGAAGGGACTTGGTTGCTCCAAAAGCACAGATTATGTTTTGGATGTGGTTCTGTCTACCCACAGCCATGGGCACACTTCTTCCAAGCAGCCTGGCTGGTGAAGTTCTGATTGGGAATCAGGAGGGCCGGATTCCTGTCCCCTGACCACCTGGCTGGACTTGGGAAGGGCGTATTTTTTCCATCCATGAAATGTGGATGATAATAAGCCTGTCCCCTCTTCTTTCCCATCTTCTTCCCCTTTCCCTCTGCTCCTTCCCTCCCCTCTGTCTCACTCAGTCATTCCCCACTTGCAGGAATGCCTGAAATCTCAGGCAGCAGGGAGAAGCCTGGAGCCCTAAAACTGTGCCAGGAGACACTCTTGCTGGGTGGCTTCCTCGCCCAGTGTCCTCCACAGCTCCATGAATTGGCTGTACCCCTGAGGTGGGAACTCTTGGCCCCAAGGAGAAGGAAAGGAACTGAGTCTTAAGTACTGTATTGTGCCTCGGAACCCAGAGTGAAGGAGGCCTAGGCATCAGAATAGCCACCGTGATCTTGCCGCGCCGATGAGGGCTTGTCCCAGGACTTAGGTTGGAGCCAGTGGGAAAGGGGGTCTCTTTCCCCAGCTGCCAAGCTGCAGAGGCCTGCCGGCAGCTATCTTTGTCCCGTGAGCCTGGTCTGCCTGGGTGTGAAGTGACAAGCAGAGGTGAAAGGGGTGAAAGATGGGCAACAGCTGTAATAGAGCCCAGGGATCAGCTCTGCTTGAAGCCACCTTACCGTGCTCTTGTCAATGACTTAATACAGAATATTCCCTTTTGTACATAAGTTGGGCTACATTGGGTTTTCTGTCACTTGTGACCCAACTGATACCAGAGCCCTGGCTCTGTCTGAGGGAAACTGTTTCTGGATCTGGATAGAACTGGGCTAAGGGATGAGATCAAAGAACTCACCAATGAGGTCGAGGAAGGAGAGGCTGATGAAGAGGTTGGCGGCCCAGTTGAAGCTGTTGCAGAAGGCGAAGGCTCTCCCGCGGACTTCCCCAGGGTAGATCTCACTGAGGACGAGCCAGGTCACTAGGACAAGAGAGCAGAGGGGCTCCTGGGTGTAGGGAGCAATGCTACATAATTCTAGGGAAAAATCATTTGAGCAGGCCTAGTTCTCCTGCCTACAGCCCAGCTAGGACATTCCAGACATCATTGCATTTTGACCTCCGGTCACAACTGAGACCTCAGTGATCCCCCCCAGATGCTGCAATCTCCAGGACAAGACCACTCCTGTGGGAGACACCAGGGAGGAACCAAATCTTCATCTGCATAGTTCCTCATTGTTCTTAGATTTCCACTGCCCCCCAGCCTTTTGTTACACCTTGTTTATCCCAATGTGAGGTACTGAACTCTGCATTTCACTTGTTACCTCTGTTTCCCCATGTACTGAGTAAAAGGTGAGGTAAGCTGGGGGCTTCCATCTTTGCCGCCCAGAGCAGCACTGATCAGACCCAAAGCTCAGCTTCTTCTCAGTCTCATTTTTCTACCTTTCCTGTAATTCGCCGTGTGCTGCCGCGGCTTGCAGGAGACTAGGACTTACTGCAGAGGTTCTGGTAACGTCCCCTTTCCCTGTTCCCTACATTTGGCGCCCAACGTGGATGTGAATCAGATCCACAAGTGAACTCGCCTGCACCTGGGCTGAGGCCTGGCACCAATGGGCTAAGCAGGTAGCCTCCTGGCCATGTGAGTCAGGGAAAATGTCAGGCTCCTGACATCAGAATCTCCCCAGCTTCATTCCCCTTTATGGTGGCAAGAGTCCCTTTTGGGTGACCATGACCTCCATTTGCTCAGGACTCAGGGGTCTCCTGGGACACAGCCTTTCAGTGTGGAGACCAGAACAGTCCTGGCATTAAATTTCTTTCAAGTAAACTTTTATAGTTGAGTTATTTTAGGGCCCCAGCCGGGGAGGAGTACTGAAGCTTCGGGCCAATCTGCCTCCAATGCCCCTCTAAACTGATAGGGCCTTGAGCTGCTGTCAGAGGGGTAGAAGGAGGCTCCAGACTTACCTGCGAGATATTCCACTTACCTGGTCCAAAGCCAAAGGAGAAGGCGCTCACAAAGGCCATCAGGCAGATCAGTGCTGTCCAGCGCAGCAGTGTGTGTTCTGGGGTGGGATCAGGGAGCCCCAAAGAGGTGGTGCCCAGGGCTGTCAGGGGAGTAGCTGTGGCAGCTCTGGGTCCTGGATGGAACTTGGTTTGCTTAGCGGTTGACAAGATTGGCTCCCACTGGTCCCCTCTGGTTCTTGGCGTAGGAGGTAGAGATGGGTCCTTTAGCAGTCCAGAGCCTCCGGGGAGGCTTGTCTTCTGGGTGGTGTTGGGCATGGCCAGGCAGCTGGGGCCGGAGTCCATGGGCACCACAAAGCTGACAAGGCCTATGCCACTGACCGTCAGGGCCATGAGGGCACAACCAGCAAGCAGTAGGACTCTGCGGCCAGCATGGTCCACCAGCCCCATGGCGGTCAGGGTAGCTGCCACCTTCACCACACCCAGCCCTACGGAGGCCAGCACAGCGGAGGACCCTTCACGGAAGCCGACTGAGTGGAAGATGGTGGAAGCGTAGCACAGCACATTGGGCTGCCCTGTTAGCTGCTGGAAAAGCACCAACCCCAGCCCCACTGTGGTCCGGCCTCGCATGTTATCCCGGGCCCTGAAGAGGTCCAGAAAGGTGTAGCGTGGCCTCCCCATGCCTAGCTTGGTGGCCTCACCTCCCTGTAGTGGAATGATGTCCTTATACACTGCGGGCTCCTCTGTACCAGCTGGGAGGAAGAGGAGGCTGAGAGATTGAAGGAGAGCAGGCGCTGCAGCCCAGCCGAACATGTGCCTCCACCCCCAGGGGGCGCTGGCCAGGGCATAGTTGAGGGCATACGAGAGCAGGATGCCCACAGTGATCCCTGCCTCATAGAGGGACACCAGCACTCCCCGCTGCCGAGGTCGCACTAGCTCTGACACGTAGATACAGCAGGCCATGGAGGAGAGTGAGATGGCGAAGCCAACAGCCGAGCGGCCCAGGACCAGCCAGGGAAGGGAACCAGCCAGGCCCAGGCTCAGGCTGCCCGCCACTAGCACCAGGTTGCTCCCCAGGATGGTTCGCTTCCTGCCATAGCGGTCAATAAGGAAGCCACCCCCCAGGGAGGCGAGGAGCCCCCCCAGGAGCAGGCTGCCCACCAGGAGTTCCTGCTGTGCGCAGCTCAGCCCAAAGTCAAGCTGCAGTGGCCATAGGGCACCTGATATGACTGCCAGTTCATAGCCAAAGGTCAGGCCACCCAACAAAGACACAGAGGCACACAGGGGCAGCACAGGTGGAGGACAGCCTGGAAAATGAAAATGACAGCATAGAGTCAGAATGCTTTCTTGCCAGAGCATGCATCCAACATCCCCCCATCTGTCACATCCTCCATCCAACCGTCTACTATTCAACCACATGTTCATTCATTCATTTACCTTTCCTTGATTGCTTCCTTCTTTCCTTCCTCCCTACTTTCTTCCCCCGTTTCTTCTATCTGTCCATCTACATATCCATCTATCAATCCATTGATTGGTTCGTCCATCCATCCATCATCCATCCAGCTTCCATGCATCCACCCAAGTATTCATCCATCTATCTCTCCATTTATCTACTCATTAATTTGTTCAACCACCCATTGATTTATGAATCCATCTATCCACAAATCCATCTATTCTTCCACTTATCTTTGTATTCCGTCCTTTATATACCCATCCACACACCCATCTGCCCATCCATCCATCCATCCATCCACCCAGACTTATCTGGCACCTGCTACACGTGAGATGGCCTTCTTGAGGCCAGCAATACAGTGGTGTTGTCAAGGACCTGACATTCTGCCAGGCATAGGCAGATGATAAAAATCTGATATAATTTCATTTGGTGATAGATGTCATGGAACAATAAAGCAGCAAAAGAGGATTGACAGCGATAAGGGAATACTGTTGTAAATAGGGTTGTCAGCTAGGGGCCCTCTGTGGAGGGGGCATCTGAACAGAAATCTACATAAAGAGAGGGCAAAGCGATGGCAAATCTGGCAGAGAAACAGACGAGATGAGGGAACATCAAGTGTGAAGGCAGGAGATTAGCAAGTCCCAGCCCCACCTGGACAATTTAGCAACTTAGCAAGTGTTGGGAGCGATGCTACATAACTCTAGGGATACATCATTTGGTTAGCCTAGTTCTCTTGCCTACAGCCCAGCTACAGAATAACTCCAGTTTGGCCTCCGGTCACAACTGAGACTTCAGTGATCCAGTGATGCTGTGATTCTCCAGGACAAGAAACATCCTGGCAGAACAAACATCTGCTCAGTTCCTCATTGTTCTTGGACTGATTAACATCTTGTTTGCCGGAGATGTACTGAACTCTCTGCAAGCCTTCTGTTACACCTTGTTTATCCCAATGTGAACTACTGAACTCTCTGCAAGTCATCTGTTACATTTGTTTCTCCCGATGTACTGAGTACTGAGTACTGAGTAAAAGGCCCGGTAAGCTGGGGGCTTTGTCTTTGCTGCCCAGAGCAGCACTGATCAGACCCAAAGCTCAGCTTCTTCTCAGTCTCATTTTTCTACCTTTCCTGTCATTCGCCGTGTGCTGCCGCGGCTCGCAGGAGACCAGGACTCACTGCAGAGGTTCTGGTAACGTCCCCTTCCCCTGTCCCCTACAAGCAAGACCCTGTCTCAAAATAAAAAAATTTAGAACAAGGGCTGTAGATGTAGCTCAGTGCAAAGGCCCTGGGTTCAATCCCCAACCGGCCCCCAACCTGGGAAAAAAAGCAGCATAGATCTAGATGCTTTCAAGTTCAGGCTGAGAGTTTCTCCTTTAAAAATGAACTTACTCACGTTTATTACAATTACTGATAAGCTTGAATCTGCTCCTGCCATTCATTTTTGTGTCTTCTGTTCACTGCACTTGCACTATCAAGATATTTTTCTCCCCATTCTTGTTTTTGATAAATCAGTTAAGTTTTTGTTGTTGTTGCACACCCCGCCCCTGCTGATTTGAGTGTTTACATTCTATTTCCTTTCTTCTTAGAACAGCACTAGCCAGGAGAATTTTCTTCAATGATAGAAACTTCTGTATCTGAGCAGTTGGATATGACCAGCTACATGTGGATATTTGAAAGTTGGCTAATGTGATACAAGAAACAGGTGTTTGGGTGGGGGATTTAGCTCAGTGGTTCCACCGTCTGCCTTCAAAGTGCAAGGTCCTGAGTTTGATCCCCTGTACCAAAGAGAGAGAGAGAGAGAGAGAGAGAGAGAGAGAGAGAGAGAGAGAGAGAAAGAAAGAAAGAGGTATTTTATTTTAATCGATTTACTTATAAAAAGGTGCCTTTATGAGGTGGGCTGCTGTGTTGCTTATAAGTGGATATCTTGACGACCAGAGAAAGCAAGTGCCTGGCCCAAAGTCAGAAGTAGTGGGCAGTGAGCCTCAACCGAAAGCCTCTCCCCCTCTCCCTGCCCCCTGCCCCATTCCCTGGCTGAGCTCCCCAGGAACATCCCGGATGACTACCTGCCCAGGTCCCACCGTCCTCACCAGCCCTTTCCTTGCCCCCTTGGTCCTTGGGCTTCACTCCTGCAGGGGACAGTCCTTCCAGGCCATGTGAAGCAATCGAAGCAAAAGCACAGGACTGTTCGTCATCTCTAGGTTACCACTGGGGTGAAAGGGAGTCCAGCCAAAGGCCAAGGCCAAGGCCAAGCTGACTGCCCACAGGCTCTGCTGGAAAACATATCAGTGCAGACTGGGCTCACAGTGGCTGAGAGGAAGGCAAAGGGAGATGAAATGCGAATAACTCCAGATCTCGCTTCTCGAGTGCCGCCATGTGCCTGCTCTGGATTCATCCATGTAACACCCCAAGGGGCGCTGCTGCACTCAACCCACTTTGCAGCTGGAGAAACTGAGGCTTGGGGCATTCTCACAGCCAGGAAGCAATGGGCTAGGTCCCACACCGACACACTGAAGAGCTTTCTGCAGGCCCCTCCCAGCGAGAAGGGCGGACCAGAGGTAAGAGAGGCAGGAGACAGCAGGGCAGAGGCGGAGGAGGAGCAGGCTGTCTTGAAAACCCAAGTCATGAATTACGGTGAAGTCACACTGTCCCAGGGAGCTAGAACTGACAGCCCCGAAGATTTCAGGGCCACCAGAAAGACTGGGGAGGGCCATTCCCTCTTAGCCTCTCCGCGGTCCCTACCACCCACGCAAGCAAGTCCAGACTCCTCAGTGTGACATCCAAGGCCCTTTCCTGCTGGCCCTAGCTCCTCAGCCACTCCTCCCCCTTGTCCTGGTCCTGTGCCTGTCCCCACCAGCACCCCTCTCCCGAGACACTTCTGTTCCGGGGACATACTGTGCACTGTCACACTGCTCTGTCTTTACACCCGATGGTCCTCCTGCTTGCACTGCCCTGGTTCCCCAAATGTCCACTCTTCTCCCTCTTCGCCTCAGCTCACCTCACCTCCCCTGGAAGCCCTAGGTATTCACATCTGTTACCGAGCATCCCTACCTGGTCCTTTGTCGGGAGACACCCTGCCCTGTTGTCAGCCCCACGACACAGGTGGAACTGTTATTCCCAGTCTACAGACAAAACGGTGAGGCCCAGAGAGGTAAAGACATTTGCCCAAGGTGGCACAGGGTGTAAGAGACAGCAGGGATTTGAACTGACGCAGTTTGACTCCAAAGTCCCCAAATCAGATGTGATAAAAAAATAAAACCTCACATTTACTGACCACGTACCCAGTGGAGGTCGTGAGTTGAGCATTTCAAGTTCATTTTCACACATGGTTCTCATGGCCCACCGGAATAAGGGTGTTTTATAGCGACTACGTGAAGGTCAGAGAAGGTGACAGACGCTCCACGTCATGGAAAGTGGGAGCAGTGGGGCCGGAGCCCATTCCTGGTCCTGGAGCTGACGGAGCCCACTCCCTGGCCTGCCACGGAGAGCGCGGCCTAGGGCCTCTGGGCAGGGCAGGTCCTGGGGACACCCCAGTCCCTGCACGCACGCACGCACGCATGCAGGCCTTCATCACCCAGCCCCGCCGTACCCATATTGTATGCTTCAGCAATGGCAAACCTTTTAGAGGTTTCTATGATGCAAACAGCCCGCTGCGGCACGCGTGCCATAGGTTTGTCACCACTGGTTAGACACTAGCTGTGGAATTAACTTAGGAGGGACAAGAGGGGTAATAGCAAGGAGCTAGAGGCAAGCTGAGTATTCTGGGGAAGACTTTGACTTCTCTGGGCCTCAGTTTCCCTCAGGCTTGGGAGTGCTGTGCGGTGATGTTAAGGGATGGATTGTAGAGTCAGAGCTGGAGTTGCTCAGCAGCTGTCCCACTGTCGTGTGGAGAGGCCGGTGGGGGGAAAAGCGGTTAGGAAATCAGCCAGAGTGTTGGAATTCGATCCCAGCTTCTCTTCTCCACAGCTGTGTGACCTTGGGTAACTCACTTAACCTCTCTGAGGTCCTCTACCTACAAATGGGATAATATCTACCTCATATACTTGCCTACCCTTATAGCCAATGTTAGCTATGATTCCGCACAGAACAACAGAATGAGGTTTTAAGAGATAATTCAGGTCACACTCTCCCACCCCCACTCCAGTTAAAAAACCTTCCAGCCATATCATCTGGAATAAGACCCAAGCTTCTCACCCTACAAGGCCCTGCGGGATCTGGCCACTGCTCACCCCTGCCCCGTGTCCACTGGGGTCCACCAACACCGTCCTGGGGCACACCAGCGAATCCTTGCCTCAGGGCCTTTGCACTTGCTGTTCTTGTTACTGGGAAGCTCTTCTCCCAAAACTCAGCAAGGCCTACTTCTGAGTAAGGGCTCAGCTCCAGGAAGCCCACCCTTCCTGCCTGCCTGCCAAACGCATGTGCTGGGGCCTCATTTTCTGTGTTCCACACTGTATCTTATTCATCCACGTGTTTACCCACCTCCTCAAAGATGAGAGAGATGTCTTGCTCACTGGGAATCTCCAACACCTACGTGTGGCCCAAAGTAGATGCTCACTAAAGAATGAGGGGCTGAATGGCCCTTGGAATCTCTGAATCCAGAGAGGGACACAGAAATTCCCCACCAACGCCAGTTCTGCGCGGGGCTGTCCCCAGCCCCTGGTGTCCAGGGCTGCCTGGGAGTGGGGGTGTCTGCTTTGCCTACTGCAGGCCGAACAGTGCCAACACCGTAGGGCCCAGCGAGCTGATGAACGTTGCTCCTTTGGGAGCCTCCACTTCCTCCTCCGCAGAACAGGGAGCTCCCCTGCCTGGGTGGTCAGGACTGGGGTCAGCCGGGCTCCAGCCCCAGAGGCATTCGGTGCTCTCTATCAGCCACTTTCCCTTCCCGGGCAGAAGGACGATGGAAGGAGGCGCCCGAGGCCCCTGCCCTGGCCTGCCGTCCCGCGGGAGGAGCGGAGAGGGCAGTGGGGACCGCAGCGGCCCGGGTCACAGCCCAGGGGTGGCCGGGTGGGACTTACCCATGGCGAGCCGGGCTCCGCGGGCGGGCGTGCTGGGGGCGCTGGGGGCCCGGCGTGCATCCCCTCCCCCACCGAGTCCCCTCCGAGGCTGCCGCCGACAAACTTTCCGGCCCGCCCGGCTGCGCCCCTCCCTGCCTCCCGCGCCGCGCAGCAGCCACGTTGGCCAAGAGAGGCGGGACGCGGGGAGCCCGGGCCCGGAGCAACGCTGCGACACTCAAGTCCCGCCAGAAGTTCTCCCAGTATATTGTAAGGCCCGCCGGGTCCCTAGCTTTGTCGTAATAGGAGAGTCCCCAGTCACAGTGGTCCACGCTTGCCTGGCCTTCCGAGCGTGCACACACACACACACACACACACACACACACACACACACACGGCTCACTCACTCAACACCCATTCATCCCACAGTAAGGTTTGGATGCCTATCCGTGCCAGGTGCTCCCCAGGGCCTGGCTGGGTTGGTGAGTTTTGCTCTTAAGGAGATTGTACTCCAACTCCAGAAGAAAAATAAACAGCAAAAGGAGCCACAAAAATATCAGCTACTGAGCAAGGCTGGGCATGCTAGGCAGGTAGTTACACATTATCAGACAAAAAGACAAAGGGACAAAGAGTATCAAAAACCCTGCTTTGCCAATTATAATTAAAGACATAAAGACCTCGGTGTACATTTATAATCATCTATTAGGCCTCAGGTCAAAAATGTTCTGCCCCAGCACAGAGAGATCTTAAGATCAGACAGCACAGCTGCCCTGAGCGGCCAGCCAGGACTTCAGGGTCGTTTTTTTCTTAAAACCAGGCAGTCACACACCCAGCACCCCTGGCTGCCATGGCCAATGGCACACTGATGACAAACAATGAGAGCAAAAGTGACATTTCAAGATCTACCCACAGGATGCACATTAAACTAAAAGCTAGAGTATGATAGTGTACTTCAAGAAAAACTCTGACCACCTGGAAAGAGCAAAGAAGACCTTTTACAACAGTGAAAGATAGACGTTCCAGAGTTAACTTCTAAGACAGAATGTCCTAGGCATGATCACCATGGGACTAGAGCAATGATAATCACTATACCGTGGTGCCCTAGGCCCCGAGAGTTACTGAGCATACACCCAAGGAAACCCACTGCCACCCTGAGCACTGGCCACCTTGGATTGGCCCACCCTTTCCCTTCAGGGTGTACTTTTGCCTCACACTGTTTTGCACTTTGCAGTGAATTCTGTCTCTACTTCCACAGTGTTTTTCTGTGTCATGACTGAATCCTTTCATCAAGAACACAAAGACTGAGGAGCCCCCCTCCCCCACTAACAGGGGATGGGGTTACTTGAGGAGGGGACACCTGAGCTGAGACCTGGGGATCCAGTTGGAAGGAACAGCATGGGCAAAAGCCCTGGGGTGAGAACAAGCTAGTGGGGTACAAAGAACAGCAGAAATGAAATCACAGGGTTTGGAGCCTGGGCGTGGACAGGCAGAGTAGAAAGGGAGAAGCCCAGAAGGGACTGGCTAAGACCTGATCCTTTAGAGCCTTGAGAGGTCATCTCAATTGACAAGTGACTGGGGAGCTCTAGAAGGGTTACAGGAGCAAGAGTAGGAGCAGGGAGCCACTGGGAGCCACTGGGAGCCACTGGGAGCCTGCTGGGAGAGGAGAGACGGATGAGTTTGGCTCAGGTGAGAGTGGGGATGGAGAAGAGTGGGCAGAGTGGAGGGGAGGGGAGGACTCGAGCACTGAGAGAGGAGCAGCTCAGGGCTGGGAGAGGAGGTGGAGAGCTCTGCATCGGGCGCATGACGCTTCGGTGGGCATCCCTGTGGAAATCGGTGGGTGGCTGGACATGAGCCTGGAGTCTGGGAGGGAGGCAGGCCGGAGACACCACCGCGAACTCCCCCACTCAGCCAGCGCACATGGGCAGGCCCCAAACTCCCTGGGGTGCAGGCTTCTCCTGCCTGCCTGCAGGGTCACACGCTTGTGAGGGAGCCACCAGTCTGGGGTTGCTCCCAGTCCCAGCTCCAGAACGAGCTCTCAGACAGCCCCCACTCCTAGATGACCAAGCTTCCAGCTGGGGCCCTGGACACTGTGGAGCAGTGGCACACCGTGCCCATTAGCCTGCTGGGACTCCTGTCCCACAGATTCCATGAGTATAGTTAAAGGGTTTCATTAGGCTGCAGAATTTTAGAGCAAATTGTTAATGGAGCAATAACTGGGACAAGATCTGAAATGACTGAGTGAGAATTATATACTTCTGTTATCATAGGTGATGGGCTACTGGGACAGATTTTCAGGTTCTTGTGTGTGATGATTAAAGCACGGAACATAGCCCATGATGGTAAGGAAAAAGCACCAAAGTCTAAAGAAATTTAAAGGTTGAAGTTACACTCAGAGTGAGTGCGCTTGTGCTGATGGAAAGGAAAACAGCATGGGTGTGGATATGTTGGGCTTAAGAATTTGAAATGTTGGGCTAGGCTGAGGGCTTCTCCCATTAGGGTTTTTGGGACATGATGGACAGAGTGATTGAAGGGTGCTGAGTCATGTCAGCTGTGCCTACTACACATGTCCATTCCCAGAATCCACTCTGTTATAATTGGATGTATGCGTGGTGGTCCATGTGTATGAGCCTTTCATAAACAAGCTCCAGGTGAAGAAAGGTCATTGTAGGTCATGTTGGCAGGTCTGACATGGATGCATCTTGGTTTGGGATTTTGAAATTTCCAGGGGTCTTTTGTTTCCCTCCAGGTAGTAGGCTTTAGGATGAAGCTTAGGGAGTTTGGCTCGGGGTGTTGTCCAGATTCAGGTGAATGGAGGGGCGTGGTCTCATAGCCCCAATTGTGCTACAGGTAGCTATATTACTTTCAGTTAGTATTTTACATGTATTAGATGTTACATGTACATGTTAACTCTCACGACAGCCTAGGAGGTAGCAATGATTACAATCTATCTCCACTCTACAGACAGGAAAGCTGAGCCCAAGTAGGTGTAGTGACTTGCTCAAGGGTTCAAGGGATTGCCACATAGCAATTCCTTCTTGATCTGTGAATGTCTGGAATTGTTACCAGGAGGCCAAGGCCAGTGAGGCCTGGGCTGTTCCATTCTGGTGACATAATCTATAAGTGTGATATGATGGGAAAGGGGATGCTGTTCTTTGGTCTTTGTGGCTCCCATTAGTTCGTGAAGAGTAGAGAACAGAGATTCCTTTTTTCCTCTCAACGTGTTAATATTATAGACAGCTAAGTTAGGTAGACATTTTCTAGGCAGTCAGACAGGGTTAGGCCCTCGAGGGAGTCAATGCAGAGGATGAGAACACATCACAACTGTGGCTGGAGGTGCAACATTGAAGCCCAGGCCTCAAGATAAAGACAGAATGATCAGGCCTGTATACCTCCCCAGAGGATAAGATCATTGGTATCACCTGATCCAATAAAGTCTAAATAGATATCAGTCACCCCAGTGGGTGACCAAATCCCCTGATTTATCCCTTACTAAAGAAGGTTTTTGTTCTTGCCAGGTACACTCGCTAAAAGACCTGCTTCCCCACTGGATCAATATTACCTAAGTAGCTATATTGAAATTTTATTGGTTGATCATAATATTTTTTTTTGGTACCGGGGATCGAACTCGGGACCTTGTGCTTTCGAGGCAAGCAGCAGAACCACTGAGCTAAATCCCCAGCCCAGTTGATCATAATTTTGACCCACATTGTACCCACCTTTTGATTTTCTATAAAACTTCTTTTGAGAAGTGGGCTCATTGACAACCCATTTTCAATCCCCTCCTGTCTCTCAGGAACTTTCTCTCCCAGTAAATATTTCCTACTCTTAACTTCCATGGTTCCTTAGAATTCATTCTTCGACTTTGGGGAAGATGAACTCGGTGTATCTGACATTTGGCAGGTTGGGAGTTACATTTCTTTCCCCTATATCATTACCATGGGTGATGGGGTTCCAGACAGTTTCCTCCATTCTTAGGCACAATGAACAAAGAATTGAAAATGGCATGCAACGTTAAGGAAACAGCAGTAAAGTTTAATTAGGCAACAGTGTGCTTAGAGTGGTGAGGGGGCTCATGATGGTGAGGGGAAAATGGCATGTGCATTGAAAGCATTGGGTTTAGGGATTTAAAATATTGCTCAAGTTCTAGGGTGCCTCCCATTGGGTCCTCCAGAGCACGATTGGCAACGTGATTGACAGGGTGCTGAGTCATGTCATCTGTGTCTATTGGGCATGTCCATTCCCATAATTCACTCTGTTATAATTGGATATATGAGATGCAGTCCATATGCATGAAACTTCAGTGAGTTCCAAGTGAAGAAAGGTTACTAAAGGACATGCAGGAGAGCCTTACATTCATGCATCCTGGTTTGAGATTTTGGAATTTTCCAGGGCAGCCTCAGGGGTCTTTGTTTTTCCTATCTCTACCTCTGAGTATTAGCCTTAGGACAAAGGTGGGGGGGTGGCCCTGGGTCATTGCCCAGGTTCAGGTGAGTGGAGGGGAGTGGTCCTGCAATGAGTAGAGGGGAGTGCCCTATAGCTCCGCTGGTACCACAGTTATCCATATTAAAAGGAAGAAGGGAAACTTATAACTGGATGGTATCAGATGCAGCTTCAAAGATGGCTCCCAGTGACCTCCTTTCCCACTGTGGCTGAGTGGGATGTATGCACCACTCCTTGCCTGGAACACACAGCTAGTGGGATCATAAACTCAGCAACAGTAATGAATTAAAGAGGCAGAGTTTAAAACAAAGGAAGACAGTTTATTTGGAAAAGGATGGTGAAAAAAAGTAGACAATTACTCCGGGGGAGTAGGGGCCACCAGAAGTGAATGCCTGTGGGATTGTGTCCTAGCTCCTTTTTATGTAGGACTAGTGACTAATCCCATCCCCTGTGTGGGCACCTGGAAGTTGCCCTACACCCCATTCAGGCCCTGGTCATCCCCTTCCCTGCAGAGTGGGTAGGACGTAGTGGCTCACTTATTTTTTTTTTAATTGTTGTACAAACATTTTATTTGAGATCATATCCCCTTATAAAAAGCACATTACATCAAGATTGCAAAAAAGACATTTTTTTACAAAGAGGGACTTCTATCTACTCATCTATTTTATCCCATGATTCACTTCCTATCCTAACACAAATAAAACTTTCCTTTTCTTTTTTTCCTTTCTCCTTCCTCTGAAAACATAACGGCCATGAGGGATATATTAATAGAATATGCCAATTAATCCTTGTCAGGAAAGCAGTAGCTTACTACTGATTGGACTTGGCATTCCTTTTGCCCTGACCCGAAGGTGAGTAAACCTTGAACTTAAATACAATTTTTGTATTATTTACACTCTCTCCCTGGGTCTTTTACTCACAAACTCTACCCTAAATTGTAAGCACTCAAGAATTGCTTAAGAAATGATGATGATGAGGAGGAGGAGGTCAGAGCTGAAAGTGCCGTTAGGAGGTGGGGCCTGGTTGGAGGTGGTCACTGGGGCATGACCTGGAAGGGTGTATTCCTGTCCCTGGCTCTCCC